GGAGGCGTAGGATAAGTTCACTCCCTCGCTGCGCGTTCTACTAGTAGCAATCGGATCACGTAAAAAACAACCAGTGGTAGAAAAGACCACGGGTGAGGCTTCCTGACATTGCCCCGACTGAATGAGATGATATCAACGGTAACATCCTCGATAATGTACACTTTTTTTAAATTCAGACCATTCCATTGTATGAGATTCAAATGAAAAAAAAACAAAAATTTCATGCTTTTTGCTTTACTCCAAGCTCGTAAAACACACATTCCACCGTCATGGGTTGGGCGGAGACTCACATTTGTTGTGTCTTCCTTACAAGCGCGACCGTCCTCCTGGTCTTATTGGAAGGGAAAGCATCAACAAGGAACGTACAGTAGTCGTGAGTCCCCGCCTATCCAATTACCCCGAGATGTAACCTAAAAATCCTCCGAGCGCTGTTGTCAACCTATTGAACTTCAGGCTTATCTTCACCTACATTTCCAAACAATTTTCCCTTTTCATTAGTTCTATTGATGAATTAGTTAGATATGAAAAATTGATGATTTTTCAGTTCCGCTCCTTCATATTGGTCCTACTACGGTAACAGCAGTCTTCGTCACTTCAACAGCTATCGTCCACACAACTACACACCGTCAACCGCCTCATGGTCACGCTACTACTTTTGATCAGCTTCTCTTCATCGACCTCTGTCCCTCCTTCCTCACACTGAGAGCTATTTCGCCACGCTTTTCGGTATTTTGAGCAGAACCCGGTGTTCACTAATCATCTAACAATGTCGTTGTGCAAAATTACTGCCCTTCTAGAAAAACTTGCTTTATTTCTCAGTACTTACAATGAATTCTCGCCTTCACAGTAACTGGTTGAAGACTTTGTGAAAAGTCATATGAACAACTCACACCACAGTGAGCTATTTTGGCCTTCAGCACTAGCCATACAAGCACTTATCCGCACCTTCTCACCACCACCGTTTCAAACGTCTATCGATTCGCGCGAAATCGATAGAATTGTACAGTTAGTCACGATCGATATTTGTATTTCTGGCAATCAATATTTGTATCTGTTAAGCTTGGTGTCGAATATTCTCGCTATTATCTGCAAATAAAGTTCCGCCAACACAATACAAGGAGGACTGGATGAAATTTGGTGATGGAAAAGAAAGAGTAACGGCCTAGTTGTTTTCAACTGATTACTTCCAAACTTCATTTCAAATGATATTAGTCTTGAAGGCACGCTCCGCTTTCATTTGATATTCAGACGCTTTCTTGATAAGGTAGTCCTGCCAGCAAGCACGGAGGTGATAAGGAGGAACCGACAAGAGGGAAACTCGTCCGACCACGCCCTCTCTTCGCCTTATGCACATACAAACGCGGTTCTGCATGGGGTTCTTCAATCAGAATTCTGGGCTGGTTTCGGCTTTTTTCGTCACTTCATGTTATGCCTCCTTTTCACTAGTACCAGAGCAACTGACCATTTTTGAACAGGGAAAGTACCTCTAGGCGCAATGAACGATGGCAAGATGAGGGTAATGACGTTCTGACATGAAGCAGTAGGTGCTATGAGACGCATCCGTAAAAAAAAAGCAGCAGAAAAACCATCGAGAACGTCCTAGACAAGAAACAGATTTTTGGTTCTGCAAGCCGTTTGCACGAGTTTGCCCAGGCTCGGACGAGTTGTCCGTGCAGCTGAGTTTCTGTCAGCAAATCGCTTACTTTGCAGCTCCGATTTATAAATGTAAAATGACGGCTGGAGTGTCTGTCTTCCTGATAACTGAAAAGCTCGAAATCAACACGTGCGAACACTACCATACAGCGACTAAATAAGGGCGGAGACACGCCCTGGGTGGGAGTCTACACTGCATCAAATTGAATGCTGGGCGCCCTTGCACTTCACAATGAAGACAATCGCATACCCTAGTAAGCTGTGAACCTGCTGACCTTTAAACAAAATAGAACGTCTAGTGTCAACGGGTGAACAGACACACTAGCTGCACACGACTGGACTGTCTCCAAGTGGAGGAAAAACTGTTTTCATCCACCTTAGAGGACGGTCCATGCCATGTGCAAAGCAGATAGGTCCGCAACTGCAACAGCGTGCCACTTCTTCCACTCAACATTGTACAGGAACAGAGCTGGTAGACAAGAGCGTCCGACACTCCGTTCGCACTATTCCTCGTAGAAGCAGCAACTTGCATCAACAAGGTCCCGCAGTGAAATCCTTACTTTCCAGGCGTAAAGATATTAAATAAAAGAAGTGAAGAGCATCAAAAAGTGTTGGCTATGGCAAAGGGAGTGACTGGCCATGCGACAGAGCGATGTCTTATAAGGGCGAAGTCCGCGTATCACTACCCTCTAGCACCGTTTCCGTGCACTTTTGACCGGGGAGAATGGCACGATACAGAAGCTGTAGACCCATTCTCCACACACATGGAGAAGCCGCTCGGTGAGTTAGCTGGCAAATTGAAAGCCTCGAGCCACTTTCAGATCTCTTAAGAAGATGAGAAGGCCAAAACGTCTGATCGAATAGTCGGTTCCCCTCACGACCTTCTTTGGCGGACCCCCCCTAACAACCTCGTTTCACGGAATGAAAAAGCAATTCGATCTGTACAGGATTTTCACGTCACTCACTTGCAGCTTAACGCCTCACTACAGCGTCGCAGGGTTTCTCGTTGACGATTAGCTGGAACACCTCTGGACGGCTATAATGACCTACAGTATCCAGGTCCATTTTACCACAGGCGATTCGAGATAGGTCTACGTCCACATAGCTGGAAATATTTTTCTGGAAGTGTGTGAAAACCTGCTCAATTCCACCATTCTACACTTACTGAATGAGTTCTTTGGTGAAATTCGGGCTCAACAAGGATTGTTCCCAGAGGGTCTATGGCACAGGAACCGCCTCGAATGAGAACCTTGAAAGAAAATCCGTAAAGTAAAAGCATGTGAAGCTACACAAGAAAGTCTGAAAATCTCTCACCTTGTCATCTCCATGTTTTATGCGCATCGGATGCCCTTCTGGGTAGGCGGACGATGTCATGAATTGAGCAGATGAGATGACAAAGCATCTGAAAGGGGAGGAGTTCGACAATACGCGAAGGCTAAATATCGGAGGCGACCAATTGAATGGAATGGGGCCTATACCATGACTTGCGGTGGCCAGCAGAATGCAGGTTGCATTGGGTGGGAGCAGGGCACGCCATCGTTGTGATGATCACAAGGGGGGTGGTATTTGACCGCGAGGGAGGGGGAGTCGTATTTGGGAGAGGGACTGCCAAAGATCTATACAACTACTATTTCCGATAGTTGAAAATGATAGTTAAATCCTGACGACCTCCCCCTCCCCCCCCCCCCCGCTCGACGGAAAATTCTTGGCTGAAAAACTGGAAATTTTTGAAAAATGGAAAAAGTGGTAGGAAGTTGGGAAAATCTAGGAAAGTGGTAGGTAGCATGGGGAGAGAGGTCGTATTTGAGGATGGAATTAGGAGGGTCGTATTTTTCAGGAAATGATCACAACGCGATGGGCTGCCCTGGGTAGGAGCCGATTCGGAATTCAACCCCAGGACCGCGCGTGTGGTAAGCGTGCCACTTCTCACTACATCACCTTCGCCTCGGGGCAAGAAAGGCATGGAAATACATTAACGATTAAACTCTCGCTCAAACTAC